ATCTAAGGGCGGGCTAGGGAGCAGTTCGGCTGGAGGAGGTGCAGTTCAGCAAGTCTGACCCGGGGTACCCAGGAGACCGCAGATGTGTCAGTAAGTGGTCCCACCCATCATGCTGTGCTGCAGGCAGATGAAATCGATTGCAGCATTCACATACTCATGGAAGCTGTGAGTCTTGTCGTTTCCTTGGCGTATGTAGTCGTCGAGGAGTGCTGCTTCCAGCGTACTCCAGTCGTTAATGTCGTTCTTCTTCAAATGCAGCACAGCAGTAATTTTGTGCATCCTGTGGCTAGTTTACGCAGTCGACATGATGGAGAGTGATTTGGCAGGACCTATACGATGGAGGCGAGCAAACCGTGACAGATCTAATTTTGTAGAGGAAGAAGACGGGATGGCAGGAGCACTTCCAGCAGGTGCGAGTGCAGAGGCGAGCGGAAGGGGGAAGGGTGGAGGTGTCGGGGGCAGCAAGAGTCCACGGCGACCAGCATTGTCGAAAGGGGAGGAGGCGGGAACCGAATCAGATGTTGGATATCCAATAGGCAGAGGTGCATCAGGACGTTCGCGAACAGCGAGTTTGTGAGAGGTGTGATTTGGGAACATTTTCGGGGACACCCACAATGTGTCCAGGCCATATGTTGCAATGGGACACCGTCTATCACAGGCCCTGACATAAGGCACCTCAGGGCAGCGGTTTCTGGGCAGGCGACCAGCCACAGTTCTGACTCGGGCATATCGGTAGAACTCGGAAAGGAATATCGCATTCCGGCAAATCAGGAATACCGCTGACATAATGCCGGACCTTGGTTTGAGGCAAGGATTCGTATTCTTTTTTAAGTATCAGTTGGAGAAGCTGGAAAGCGTAGAAGACATGACCGCTGTCAACAATCCTTTCATCATCGGCCGGGCTTACCGGCTGAAATTTCCGTTCGATTTCTGCCCTGTGCATGAGGAAGTTTTTCCACATATTCTCATCAGGCTCACATTCCATATTGTTATAAAAATGATCAAAGAGTATGGCATTAAGAAGACGCGGCTCTCCATACTTTTCCACTATATCGGTCCACGTAGACAGGAGGTGTGTCGTCTGATCATTCACCTTCACTGTCTTCGCACCGTCCAACCAAATAGGGGCGTGGACTGGGGTGTGGCGATACAGAAACGTTCCTCCCTGAATGTACTCAGGTTCGAAGTTCCACTCAGGGTGACATTTATAGTYGGGACGAAGGSCAAGAACKTTCGCTGTGTCAGACAGCAAWATGTGTGRMCTTCCAGCCGGAGGCACAGCTTTGCGTTTTGTGCCTYGRGAGGAAGGGCTGTTTTGTTGATGAGGAACACSGGCGRAGGCAGCCGGTGTCGCAGATTGCRAATTTGGCTGTGTCAGATGTTCTTGCRAAAACAGTGAGAAAGGGTCTGCGGAAGTCCGGTTAGAATGGTTGTCGGTTGCGTTGCCAGCGGTTTCTGCAGAAGTSGGTAGSACCTSARGTAGATGCTGGATATTGTCCGTAGCCGCGTTCGCCTGGCTGGACAGGGATTGGGGAGCTGCGGTCCGGGACCCATCTTGACACTGGCGAGCATGAAGATTTTGTGAACCCACAGGCGGAGAGCGCGTGCATTGACGGATTGGCTGACTTTGCGTTCGAAGAGGGTGAAGGATTATATACCGGCCGTCGCGACTGGCATGGACTGTGCGGCGTGCACCCTGTGATGAAATCACTCGTTGCGGCTGAGAAAGATCGGAGGAGCGGGGCATGTTGGCAGACACCGGATGCCCTTGGCTGGAAAGGTTTTGGGACTTTCGAGTATGCTGTTGACCAGCAACCGGGTCAGTGTTGTCATGAACGGGCATGGTACGGTCAGGCGTAGAGGTAGGAGAGTCGTGAGAGGAATGTTGGATCGTGTTTGCATCATGGCGGGGTTAAAAGGTCGGTGCATAAGCAGGTGGATCGTCAGAGGCGTTGTGACCATCAGAATTGGCAATATTCTGTGGAGATGCATTCCCGAATTCTGTGTGCTGACTCGTGCGGGAAGTCCGGTGTAGAAGAGGATGTAAGAGAGAGTCGGTAGCAGAAGCTGAAAAACATGCGGACTGATCGGTTTGTCGGCTGTCCACTGGAAGCGTCATTGCTGTGCTGAATGGAAGGCGCAAGGGCGAAGGAGTATCTGCGGGCAAGGCGGTTCTGGCAGAGGTTCTATCAGTCACGAGGAGGTGCGGATTCCGGTCACAAAGGCTGGAAGCGGGTGGCGGGATGACGATTGAAGAGCGGGCAGTTACGGCAGTGGGTGACCGGGGTTGCGAATTTGTAACACTTGCGGGTTGGGAAATGAGAGAATTTGGTGCTGTCCCTGCCTGCGGTACCTAATGGCAAATCGAGATTAGTGCCAGCAACGTCAGATGCAAACGACGATGTCAGAGAAATGATGGCTCCTTTGTTCTGTGCCGAAATCATGATAGGATTTGTGAGCACAAGGAAGTGAGTCTCTGCCGCATCGGCCTCCACAGAGGCTGGCAGAAGTGTGTCTTGCGTTTCTAGGACTGCCACAACTGTTTCGGGGTCAATGTCGTGGTCAATAGACCCTGCGAAGAAGGTCACAGTACGATGGGAAGGTAAGTGGAGATCTTGCGAATTGGAATCAGCGCCTGATATGTTATCGGGGGGAATGTGTTCCAGGGACGGCTGGGTGGCAGGTGTCCTGCTGGCTGTCGAATTCACCGACTCGTGGTTTGGACACAGGTGATCATTTGAAGATTCAAGATTCATTATACCAACGTTTATGGTGTCAAGTCCTGCATGGGAGCGTGCAGGGATACAGAATACAGAGATGAGGCACGGCCAAAGTGGACGATAGCGGKGTGCGGTCCTTCATGAGAGCGCTCTATGCTGTTGGCAGGGAGATCGKATTCCAAGCGTTCATGMGCATTCCTGGARGGCACAGCAAACAGGAAAACAACAGATAGCAGAAGGAATGTTAGCAATGCGGAGCACATAACAGGCCAGTTTGAAACGTGACGGGAGCTGAAAGCAAGCAGAAGACAATCATGCGAGCAACTCCTTGTAGACAACGTTCTTTGTTCTCATCGAAGCATCAGGCAATAAAACCCTGATGCCATCGGGATGCCCAACACGCGACAATGCAACATAGAGCTGGCCATGGCCAAAGATAGGCTTGGGCAGCCAGACGCCAGCCCTGGAAACTGTTTGCCCTTGGGACTTATTAATCATTATGGCAAAAGCAACCTTGACGGGGAATTGACGGCGTTGCCATATGAATCCAGCCGATTCATCCGCTGTGAGGTTCAGTCGCGGAATGACTGCAGTTTTCTTGTTGGGAAGGATTGTAGCCTCAATCAACCTGTTATTCACAATTTTGTTTACAATGAGGCGGGTACCATTGCACATGCCCATTCTCGGAGATATGTTGCTCCGCAACATAATAGGTATACCCTTTTTAACCTTGCGCCTGTGAGACGGAAGGCCTGAGGGTTCCAACGCGTTAAGGTATTCAGGAGGCACATCCAGACCAGTAGAGTCGGACGGTGCGCTGTCGACGGAGTGCAACACAGCGGTGTGGCCGGGTATAGACTCAAGAATGAGGTCATTCACATAGTTGGCACCATCATTCCGGGGGCAAAGTATTAAGCGCCCAGAGAGGTAGTCCATGTCACCCAGATGGTCAACCACATGTGGGAACGTCCAGCGAATGAGATCCAGCAGAGGTCCATCTGTACAGATCTCGCGGGGCTCTCTTATACACATCTAGATGTGTATAAGAGACAGGTCAACCACATGTGGGAACGTCCAGCGAATGAGATCCAGCAGAGGTCCATCTGTACAGATCTCGCGGGGCAGCTCTATAATCTCAGGATCACTCGGGTCAACGACGTCGTGCTGCCCATTACCTAACCTTAGAAGGAAATCAGCGAATTGTCTTGCCACAGCATCATTGCCACGACGAAGGACTCTCGTCGAGCTTGAGTATGGAAGTAGCGCCAAAGGTGGGACGACTTAATGCAAGCATTGATTTGTTGAGCGCGACTACCGCGTCTGACAACAGGGAGGACCTGCCTGAAATCACCTGCCAAGAGGACGACCTTGCCCCCAAAAGGGAGGTCAGAGTCACACAGATCACGCAATGTAATGTCCAGGGCCTCCAAGTGAAAGCGATGTGTCATGGGTGCCTCGTCCCACACTATAAGTTGTGTTCGCCTAATAAGACTGGCCAATTCGCTTTGCTTTGGGATCGCGAATGTTTTTTTATCATCGGGTGTCAAGGGCGCACGGAATCTGGAGTGAAATGTCCTCCCCCCCGGCAAGAGCAGTGATGCAATACCACTTGAGGCGACTGCAAGAGCTATGCAGCCCTCATGACGGCGAACACCGGAAAGAATCGTGTTAATACAGAATGTTTTACCCGTGCCAGCAGGTGCGTCAACGAAAACACAAAGAGGAGTCCTTTTGAGGACAGCATCAACAACCCCCTCGACGAGCACCCGCTGGGAGGACCGCAACATTGGCACATTGGTTTCCCAGACAAGGTTGAGTTGGTCCCTGTCATAGGCCAACTCTTCTTGGATCAGTTCTGGCAGCCCTTGGAAGAGCAGGCGGCTCCGCAGCTGTTTAGCACACTGCAAAGCGTCCATATCCGGGAAGGACAAACCGACAGTGGACATGTCTGTTTTCATATCGAGGAGCTCAGCATCTATGTCAAGAAGTGCAAGTGTTTGTAAGACAGCAGGAGACAGTGTCAAATTAGGCAGCCTTCTCACGTAGTCCTCTGACATAGGTTCCCAGTACTTTAAAAAGAGAGACATAGGATCGGCAAGGGGACCATATGCACGAAGCATGGCAAAGACCTGACGGATTTGGGAAGGCATGTAGTTGTCTGCAGCAGTTCTCATGTCTGCGTCGTACTCTTTGTCGTCGTGCAGAAGCTGTAAATGCTGGCAGACCTCACGAAACGTCTGGCAAGTAACGTTGTCAACTGTCTTCGACTCTTCGAAGGAAGCTGCTTCAAGAGAATGTTCGTGGCGCAGGAGAATGCGCAGGTAGTACAAATCCCCTTCAGCAATGGACACATTGCGCAACCTGCAGATTTTCCGAAATGTGTCGGCCTTGCCTGTTTTTATGCGAGGCTTCCAAACTTCCGTTTTTCGGTGCCACGTATGCGTATCCGTAATGTTTGCGTACGGAGGATAACGGTTGCACCGCCTGTTCTCAATTCCTTATTCAAATCCATCCACGCAGTTAACTTCGTACGAGGAGGACCATTCTCTGCTGCCTCAATTTCGTTCCCCTCTTCGAAACAAACGGGCTCCTCGCCTTGGAGATGAACAGAAAGGCGCTCGACAGGGGGCCATTGTCGTGTTATCGGGAATTCAAATATGCGCCAGCAAGCCTCACTTGCACCAACGCAGCGCATATCACGGTATTTTTTTATTTCATTGGGCAATTGCTGTGGTTGCAGCTCGGCAACCATAACGCGGTCAGAGCCTTTAAGCACATATTTATACAGATATTTGCACGCGAGTATATTAGCACAGTACTCAGCATTAATGTGGCAGTTGAAACGGAGCAGGAGATGGGCGTTATAAGGCACAACGTGACCGTTGTCATACGTTATGCTATCATCACATAAGGAACAGCCGCCCGATTGTGGACCTCGACGTCTGTACACAGGATAACCTTGTTGTTGACGAAAGGTAGTGCGTTCAGCAAACGGTTTGGGGAAATGTTTAGTACACCAGCCGTTCTTGGTACAAACTGCAGACGGCTTCTCTGAGCCACAAATGTTGTGTATCATGAACGTGGAGACTTTGTCTCGCAGGAGTCCCTCGCGAGGAATCTCTGCAGATATGAACTCATCAACCCCTGCCGGAGTTGTGATTTTATCAGCGCGGTGAAGGATAAGCAGTATGTGGGCATGCGGGAGGCCACGCTTCTGGAACTCCACTGTGTAAAACAAAGCAGCGGGTTTGCCAAAGATATGTTTGTCTTTAATTTCGTGAATCAACTGGTCAAGGTGGCCTTTGAAGACCCTTGCCAATAAGTCTGGTCTGTCAGAAGCTGACTGGCCAGGAAGCAGTGCGTCTTTAATTTCTGGCCAGTTAGTATTGCAGGTCACAGTAATGAAGAGGTCTGGCTTACCCAACTTTTGCACAACAGCCATTGCGTCATAGTATTTCTCCGTCATACAGCGGGGTCCGCCAGTGAATGTGGATGGCAACATGACTTTAGTGCCGACGCCACTGCTGTGTTCATTGTTTGCCACACTTCTGCGAAGCTCCTTATAATGCTCCGCCCGCAGTTTGTTTTGGTTCTTKTCCAAGTAGCTTAGCCTGCSRGATTCTATCTTAGCGAAAGCCATGMAGCAGTATTCTTGGAAGAGTCTTGCGCCACAAAGAAGAGTGATGCGTTCACCCACCCTTTCATGCAGATGGAACGCATAGAACTCACGAGGCGTGATCTTACTTGGATTGCCCCTGGAAGTGTCGGGCTGTTTACACCAACCATCCTCTCCTTTGGGAAAGAAGAGCACGTAGTGGAGCGGGTCATAGGCTCTATTGTCATCCTTGAAATTTTCGAAAGGGAACGGGGAATTACGATYGGGTCTATAACGAACCTGCACCTCATCARGCTGTAAGGTGTCAGCAAGGAGGATGCACACCTCCTCGAAATTTTCCGGTTTGTTGTATCTGCGCTCATGTGTCCCTTCAGGACGCGCATGAGGGTTAATAACAATCTTAATGTTCTCCCTGACATTCTCATCCATGTCTGCGTATGTAATAAAGTCCTTAACATATGGGTGGCACTGACGCAGAAGAAGCTGCAGTCGTTKAATCATCGCTCTCRTCAGCTCGCGCTCCTGRGCRGACACCCCSCGAGGGAGGTGCATCAATTCCATACGAGCATCTGTTATGGTGTCCGTCTCGGAAGGGTCATGAATATACAATTGTGCATACGAGGGCCGCACCGTTGGCGGAGGCCTGAGGGAGCCTAGCCTGTGATAGAGAGGGCCCTGAATTTTGAGTTGGCCCTGATACCCTCGGAGGCCCTGTTCTGGCTGTCTAACATGAGCAGAAGCAAGGCACAATGCGTTGTTAAATTTCCTGGACTTGGACCGGAGCAACCGACCCTCAGGGGTGTCAGCAGTCCATAGAGAAAGAATGGAATGTTCGGGCGTTCCCTCCGGAGGCATCTTCCAGAGTTCACACATCGTTTTACCATGCCTACAGCACATGGTTGACCACTTAAGCTCGTGTGGCCAGAGTTTGGCGCCACAGTATGGACAAACTTGGCGGTCACCAAGCTTGTAATAATCGACGGACATCTGGTTGTCAAAGAGCAAAGAGTTAAACAAAATAGCAGATCTATAACACGGAGGAGGTACCAACGGGAGAGCAGGCTCAGCCGAAGATCCAGAGGCGAAAACAGGGACTTCCGTGGGCTCTTCCCGTGGCGGCGAACCAGGATGTTGCTGTCCAGGGATCTGTGCACCGGGCGGAGTAATTGCAACCGGAATTGCTTCCGGCGGCTGCATGTCAGCAGAACGCAACAACGCCTGGCGGAAAACATCGTAGACATGGAACCGGGACGCGGGTCGCAGCACACGTCGGCGCACACGCAACGCCCGGTTACGCGTGGCGCACCAGGTTCGCCGTCTTTTTAACGTGCGGTGTTGTGTTGCAGCAACCGAGCGGTGTGCAGCACCGGAAGACCTATGAATGGGCAAAAGAACAGAAGAACGTCCCGGCACTGGGTCCGGGTGCCGGCCCGCAGCCAAATGCCCTAGCGAGGATGGCCCGCAGACAGTGTGCGAAGCCCGGGCAGCGTCACGAGATCGGGAAACTCGTTTCTGAATCATAGACTGCCTTCGTTGTGCTCTCATGATACGGGCAGCCGACACGGGAGTCATACATTCGCTGGGACTTTGCCGGTCCATCGGCTGGCCCGCAAGTCGTCGTCGTATTTCAAGCCTTGTCGACCTACGGAAGGCAGAAGCGGAAAAGCCTTCCTGAAGTGTCTGTGTGGGTTGATCAGGAAGACACGAAGCAAGAACGTGAGGTGAACACTGCGGATGTCGTAGACCAGTCACATGTAAACCCACCTCTTCGTTAGGCAGAGGACGTGGGCAGTTGAGGGGCGGCAGGACAGAGTCTTGCAAGGGCACAGGATTCCGTGTCTGCACTCGCACAGGTAAACAGCACGTGCAGTGCAATCTGTTGTTCTGCTGCCGGGAAGGCGCCGAGCAGGTAGACGAAGGGGGCGGGCCTGACGTTTCGATCGGACAATCGTCATGCGGGACTGCCTCGCTTGCCGGCTATCCCGAGCAGCGATCAACTGAGGGTTGTTTATGCTACCGAATGCACTTTCACTTTGCCGTGGCAACGGGTCGGGGGACAGCAGCATCTCCCTTGGGAGAGCCGAGGATGCATGAAATGGTATCAATCGGCACCCTGGAAGCCCGTTTGCAGTGGGCCAGCTGGCTGTTGCGCAGCCGACGGGTGAGAGAGGACCCAATGCAGGGGAAGGATTTAAAAGCACGTGTGCATCTTCTGGCGACTGGAATGTGCATGGAAGAAGCAGAGAAGACGAGAGCTGTTCGGCCCGACCGTAAGGGTTTACGATTTGGGGTTGTCCAAGAGAAACGTCCCTGATATTCAGAGGGCCACAGCCGGGAGGAGAAGGAGAGGCAACACCACCAACGGAGGGGGCATGCGACGGGCCCACAGAATTTTGTACGTCTGTCCTTCCCGAGTTTCCAATTTCGCCACTGGCAAGGTATGCACGATGACCTGACAGGTGTAACGGGGTCTGCAAACCGGGGGAAGCACCCGACAAAGAGTTGTTGACTATTCCAGGAAAGACTCTGGAACCGGGTCTTCGGCTGAGAGACCCAGGTAGAGAAACACCGCCCTCGGGTGATATCAGATGCCCTGCCCGGAGGGAAGATGAGGATGAAGTGGGAACGGGAACTGGGATTTGCGGAATTGTGGCCGGGCGCTGCAAAGAAAAGAAGAGGGGACGGGAAGGAACTTCGAGCTGCCTGCCCGACTCACCATAAAGGAAGTCCAAGGAGAAGCGCAGACTGGTCTGAGAAGTTATCATGGCCACCGGAGTGGTTCTCATTCTGGCAGGGAGCAAATTTCGTGTTTCAGAGTCACGAGGCGAGGCAGGAGCCGAGGACAGCGTTCCCGACCTCTGTTGAGCGAGACCTTTCCTTAGGCTTACTCGTGTTTTCCATGGTCTAGGAGATGTATTTGTCTCGGAGTGAAGGGGCGCGGAGCAAGGGTCAGGGTGAAAGCTGGAAGAATTGGCCGCGGCACAGTCGTAGGCAGAATTAGGAGGGAGAATCACTGGAGGGGATGTAGTCAATCCATCAGAGGAACATTCTGAGAGGGAAGAGGGAATATTCTGAGATGGCGAGAGCTCCACGATGTATCCCCGAGGGGGCTGACGGTCAGTTGGGTGGCAGTTTAGAGCAATGGCACCGTCGAAATGCACGTGCAAACCAAAGCCATCCGAGAGGATCTCAGGATGGGCATAGGGAACACAGGGCGACGATGGATTGGAATCCGACCGCACGGCAGGAACGGGACAGACATGAAGAGGTGCGGGAGGGATTGGCAATCGGCGGTCCCGCCTCCCAGAACGCAATCTCTGCGATGGAGAGAAAAGCTGGTGTCCAGATGGCAAATTCTCAAAAGATCTGTGAAGGGTGACAGCTTCTCTCCACGGGCCAGGCCTTGTCCGGCCGGCCGATGCCAAATGAGGTGGCTGTGCCATGACCGGAAATCAACCTTCAGCAACAGAGTTCGAGGGAGCAGATTAACGGCACGGAGCGCAGGGTCACAAACAGGAGCAGACCGGCAAGGTAAAACCGAAGTGGAAAGACAGCAATTCGGGGCAGGCGGCACCGAGAGCGCAAACCGGAAAGGGAAGAAACAGGGGGACGATTCAGCAAACAGAAAGAAAACAAAGCCAGATCGAGCAAGTCATGTCAGCATGCAGGTAACACCAACCAAACTCAATGCAGGCTTTTAAAAGCGGAACTTTCGAACAGTCAACAGGTGTTAGACGTAAAGTCCCAAACCTGAACAGAGGAAGGGTGCCAGAAGGCCTTGGCAACACGGAAAACGCATGTTTGATTGCCGCGCGACGACGACATTGTCTCCTCGGCTGTCGTCGTCTGTCTGGGCACACAGGTGAGAGTTTTATAATGGCACGTCCCACAGCCAAATGGTAAGGCTACAGGGGATGCAGCGAGACCCAGTCGCCGGCAAGCAATTTCACGGAGAGCAGCAAAAACGGCAGGAAAAAAAAAACGAAGAAGAAGGGAAAAAATTCGAAAGAAGGAACTGCAATGCAGGTGCAAAAAAGGGCACAGCTACATATAACAAATCATTCCACAGGAGCAAAACAACGTGTGGGACGCTCTCGACAGTCGGGAGACCCTTGGGCTGCATGCAATTATGGTCGGTCACACATGCCGACCAAGAAGTCGAAAAAAACTAAAAATAAAAAGACACCCACATCTCGCCACAGGACCGACCGTTTGATGGAAAATGCACAGGGTAGAGGTAGGCCCCAACACGGCATTGTTTCCTGACAGTGTACATTATTTCGAGCAAACAGCAGACGGCAAAACCGATGCACCAGTTCCAAAAACAGACGCGACCACGCAGTTCCGACATTTGTCTTATATCGAATAAGCAAACAACATCTCAAGCACAAGCATAGTTCAGAGCACCACTGGCATACATGTTAGCGATACGAAAGACAGCACCACAAAAAATTCGAAAAGTGAAATTAGATAAGCTCACGAGTCATACCAAAAGGACACGGAGACCGAGTAAGTCCCTATATAATACATACAATAGAGAATAATACATTGCAGATTCGAAATTCACAGGGCTGTTCAAAAAACGGTAGAACCGAAAACAGCCGCGAAAAAAACCATTCCGGGACCCACTAAAGAGTCAACCGTGAACCCAAGTAACGGAGCCCAAGCACGAACGCAAAGTAAACGTAATCATAAACACAAACATCAACAGCAGCAGCAATGCTGTGAATACTACGAACACCAGATCAACGTTATGAACAGGAAGAACAGTATGAGCACTATGCGAAGACTATGAACGCTATATATACAGCATGGACTGTAGGAACAGTACTCGAAGAGTACGAACCGTAAATCCCAAAACCGAGGCAGCTAGATCTACGTTAGAGGTTGAAGAAACACGAAAACGCTGAAAGAGCAACAGCGGTTAGCAATGTACACCACCACCAAAAAGCACAGTGGCAAGAAGACGAAGTACAAAAAAAAGGGGTGTGGGGGGTGGGTGGGAGGGGCGGGAGGTGGGGGGCGACAGGAGAAAGGCAGCAAAGACTCTTAAATCCTAAACCCTAAACCCTAAACCCTAAACCAGGCAGGTAGATCCTCTCCAAACCATAATCGAATCTAAAGACTAAACAGGTGTCACGTACAGCCCCTTAGAAACAGAGCATGCCGAATGGAGAGCCAAAAAGCAACGTAGCGGATCGCCAGCCGACGACATCAAACATAACTGGCACACCGTCAACCGACATCCTGTAGTCAGCATCAAACACAACTGCCACACCGTCAACCGACATCGTCTACTCAGACTCACACCGGAAACAAACAGCAGCAGCAAACAACAGAGAGCAGGCTACAACAGAGAGCAGCAAAGAAAAGAAACGACGGCACCAAACACAACTGGCAAACTGTCAACCGACATCCTGTACTCAAACTCACACCGTCACCGTCACAGCAGAGAAAAAAGAAACGACAGCATCAAACACAACTGGCACACCGTCAACCGACAGCCTGTACTCAGACTCACAGCGGAAACAAACAGCAGCAGCAAACAACAGAGAGCAGGCTACTCTGGAGGCACGACATGGAAATCGTAGTCGTTATCGCCGGGACCGATGTGGACCACCGGAACCAGAATGTCAATATCCTCCTGCCTGTCGATGAGCATAAGCTCCGAGCCGAAGTCATCAAAATGAAAGTGGCGTTCGTCATCCAGGTGCCTGAGAAGGGATGCACTGTCGAGGAGACGATGACGAAACGCGTCAACCTCTGTAATCTCTGGTTGACTCATGAGCATATTGTCCTCCCCCTGTGGCCCAGTGGCCTTCTCGAATTTCAGGCGGGACACTCAGCTGAACTGTGGACGAAGACGAAGGTGCGGGAGGTTCAGGGAGCGTGTGGCCACAAAACGGACAGCAGCCCGTTGTATGCGAGGCAAGACGAAGCTGCAAACTTGCATACTCGATCTGCAATTGTTTATGCCTCTTCTGCAAGAGCAACATTTCAGACAGGATGATGTTCAGAGGGCGTCTCGCATCCTCGTCCGCAGCAGCAAGCAGCCACCTACCAAGCGTGAACCTCAACCTGTGAATATCAGAAGCCTGCTGGACAGTTATGTCATATGTACCAGCAGGAGTTTGCTGCACGAAAGTGGCAGCAAGGAATTCCTCAAACTCTCTTCTGGCGGGCGTCAGCAGACCGTAGAGCACCTCAATTGTACACAAAGCTTGAGGCTCAGTGACAGCGAATTTCAGTGCTGCTTGCACCTCAGCCTGCACCAAGCGATAAAGTAAGGTCTCACCGACCCACTGCCACTGGCGAATTGTCGACTCCAAATCACAACGGTCAAACGCCTGCAGCATGAACAATGGCTGTACAATCCGTCCAAGATCACCCCTCATATTGGAGATCAACAACAGTCCTCGAAYC